TATTTATTTATTTATTTATTTATTTATTATCTCAAACTCCTGGAGAAGGGGGGGAAATTTTCTCATTAAAGTTACATCCCCGCAGTTAGTTCAATTACTTGATATATGCAGAAGATGTTGTAAATTTATAGATTTAAATAGCTTACAAAGATGCCGCTGGACGCATCAGTTAATTTCCTTAATTTATGGATTTTTAAGCTGCTCCAAGAACAGAAAGAGGCCTGGGAAGTAGGTCAGGGATCTGAGCTGTGGGGTCCACGGCTGCCCACGTTTGCTTTCCACGCTCCGGAACCCCCTGGGCTTCTAGCTCCCAGGTTCGTGTAAAACAGTGCTACTCTTCCGGCTAGCATCGGGTGAGGTCCAGCTCGCCAGCTGGCTTCCTCAATCTTTTGACAGTCTACGGTAGTGGAAACAGCCAAACTTCCCGGTGTTGAAGAAGGTGACCCTTAGAACAAAGGGAACACAACTTTGCAAGGACGGTATTCACTCACAGTCCTGCCTGGAGTCCTTCCTGGAGCTGGCTGGTGGGCGAGTGCCCTCAGCTCCAGGAATAGAACTTTACCCATGTCTTTGGAGAGAGGAGGGTCAGGGAAGCATGCTAGGATTACCTGAGGACCAAGGACCCTCCGAAAACTACTTGTCATGGCCCGAGTGGCTGGGGGGGAGTCTTTGTTTTGTGTTCAATATGGTTGAATACATACATATAAATTCAAACTTAAAAGATTGGCATGAGCTTAACTGTTTCAGGAAGCCACGGTGGCAATGTGATCAGGACTGGTATTCATGATTTAACATTTCTTTTCCCTCTAGATGAAATTTCTGAGATTCACAAGGCACATGTCAAGGACGGGTGTATAAATGGATTTTTATTTATTCACAACTCCACGACTAATTGCTTCCCTTTGCCTCAAGGCCACCAGATTGGTTTTAATATGACACTTCAAAAGTATTCATAGAACTCCAGAGATAGCAAGTGTCATTGTTTAAGAGACAAATCTCACCGTGATTCTGCTGACCCCGAAAAAGAGCAGGTTTCACTTTATTTTAAATTCCTACATTTTTTAACTTTCACTTGATAGCAACTATATTAAAAATGCACAATTTAATCAGAGTAAGGGCTGACCATTTATTTCCTTCATGCCATAAGTCTTTGTTTTCATGTTCTCCAATCCCTTTATTGAAATGCTGAACTCTGTGTGTGTGAGAAAGAGAAGGAGAGAGAGAAAGGGAGAGAGAGAGAGAGAGAGAGAGAGAGAGAGAGATTATGAAAAGCATTAATTTAGGTCTTAGTTTCTTCTCAAGTTTTTTTTTCCAAGTTCCCGGCTGAAGCTGCTGGAGGGATGGCTCTGCAGTCCACACACGCTGCTCTTGCAGAGCATAGGAGTTCAGGCACTCACTCGGCAGCTCACAACTGCCTACAACTCCAGCTCCAGGGGCTCCCACACCCTTCTTCCGGCCTCCAAGGGAACCTACATACATGCGTGTTACCCCCTCCCCTGATACATAATCTAAAATAAAAGAAATTAAGTTGCTAGCTTAATGTCAACCGCCTCTTACAGCAAGAGAAGTTGGCATAGCTCCTGACAGGCGGTTAGTGATCTGTGGCATTTATTCCAGTGGGAGTACATTTGTAAATTGAGGGTGCATGATTAGGACTGGAAACACCGGGACACGGTGTGGACTATTTCTTTCATAACTACCATCCAAGAGATGAAACTGCATGAACCCAGGCAGAACTTTGTGT